AAATGCCTGGTCCCCAGGGTAGGAATCTAACTTTGTTCAAAGATAAAACTGTGATTTTGATCCATTACACTGCAGGATAGCTTAGAAATAGGTGTCTGGAATCAAGACTGAGGAGTAAGGTAATTGAGGCACAATGTAAATTTCATTTTTGCCTAGAGTTGTACCACATGAAATGCGCGTAGAGTGACGCCAGTGGCATAGGATGTTGTTCACTCGCTCTTGAATCCTGGTGTGGTGTGTTTTGCCTGTGTATCTCAGACTTTTGTGAATATATCTACTTTTAATAAATCATGTGGTTATATCATACTACTCTATGGTCTTTTGTTCTCTCTCCTACCCATTATTACTTTGAGGTGCTGGCTTTGGATAACCAGTGAAGGATTTTGTAGGCGGTGAAGTCAGTGGTATCCTGAGTGGTGGCCCCCCAATTGCATGATTTCTGCTCTGTTGATCTCTTATCATTTGGAGATCATTACTGTTTAGTAAGGAAACTGATATACTTCTCTGTGAGGTGGTTTGGGATTTTTACACATGGACTTTATTCATTTTAAAGATTTCACATTTGGGGTTTATATATTTTTCTTTGAAGTTTACTTCTTTGTTATGCATAAGCGAATTATATGTTATGGGACTTCTATTTTATCATTTATTTGATGCTCATTGTTTATTATGGTTTAATATGAGTTAACCTTATTTTTTTTCCCACATGTTTTTGTATTGATCACTACAGAAATATTGGTTTTACACACTTTTTGAGTGGTTATGCTCCTAGATCTGCCTTTTTCATACTGGAGTTCTTTCAAAGGTTGCTAGGGGTTCCTTGAGCAGTGGTAGACTGATCAAACGCCCCCTTAAACGTGTCTGCATAGTTATGGCAGCAATGTCACTAGGCAGAGCTGGCAGCTTGAGACCAAATGGAACCTCTACTTTTGTCTCCTAAGTAATGAACCACTGACTCCATTGATTTTTAGCTGTCCCACTAACCACCAGTGCAAAGTGACTCCGGTGACCAACACTGTAAAGGGACACCACAATTGTCACTGTATGTGTCTATTTTCTTTTTATTAATTATTTTGTTGTATAGAGGAGATGGGTGTTTAAAAGATTACTCTGCTTTCATAAACCACATGCTTTATTATTTTAATTATCTGTATATCTACAACTCGCTGATCATGCTAATGTATTGTGAGCTGTAGATATAAAACATTTTTGAGGATTCCAGACGATTTAAAATTATTCATGGTAAACAGGTTGAGACAGGGTAATCTAGATTATCAGTACAGTTCTGCTATATATCACATCTTAATATAATGCTATTCATGAAAACTACTAAGGCTATGATTAACAGCCATGTTGTAGGCTCATTGCTGTTCAGCTACCACATCTTATTCCTAAATGGTGTGACTGTTTCTATTTGTAAGTCATTACACCTCTCCAGAAATGTACAGCATGCTCCTGGGACTGATCTGCATTATGCCTGTGCCATTCAGCTAGGTGCAGTCAAGCATGCCCTGACATTGCCATATAAAGGCGAACAAGAATGACTAATGTATTATTTATTTCTTTGCTTTATATTTTTGTCACTTCAATTCTTCCTCTTATAACAAACTATTTTCCTTATCTTCTAACCCAGGCAACACTCGAGCTCAAGCCCCAGTGTCTGCATGCTAATTTTATTTACGAACTTAACATGCCACACGTTAGCCCTGTTGACAAAATACTGTGTACATCTACTGACTTTCGACAGGTTCAAATACTATAAAATCAATAAGTCAGGGAGTCATATGTCATTTCTAACTTGGCTTCAAATATCTGGATTATAATAAGAAGATATGAATAAACCCAAATTAGGATAACATACTGAATTTTCTCAATATTCTGAAAAATACTAGGTAAGCAAATTAACAGAAAAAAAAAATCAGACAGTTTTCAGGCAATTTTAAACACTTTTAACTCGTTTTATATCAAAATGAGTTACCTTATCTGTAAAATGTATCAATAAATGCACAAATATTATCACATCCTAAGAAAGTATGTCCTTTATAAATTACATTAAACCCTTTAGAAATGTAATTTTTGGAAATGTAAGTCTGTATAAAAATAGATCAATGAGTACATTAGTACATTACATCTGTAGCATTGCCCTCTTAGGAGTCGAAGAAGTTTTGGGTCCCCCTACAGTCATACACAGCCAGGCAACACACATTTTCCACAGAACTGAATTCCAGAGAAAGTAAAACAGTCCTTGACTTGTTTTATTAGGGGTATTGAACTTGGATGGGCATTTGGGACACATGGGATGCCCAAGGAACTTTTAACTGAGGACAGCTTCCTGGAAAATATGAACAAGTCCACAGAAGGGTTTTTTCTCTTCTTGGAGAGCTCTCCAGTCTCTCCTGGTGTACCATCCCAAACCCTAGATAGTCCTTCTATATCCAGCAATCTGAGGGCTTTTCCTGGACAAAGGGATATGGTATCTGCCACCTTAAAAGCACAGTCCAGAAAAGCACAGTCCAGCTGGGGGCTAGTAAGATTTCCCACCTAAATGCCCTCTCCCTTCTCTTTGGTCTAGGCGGTGTAGAAGTACTCACTGTTCCTTTCCTGCAAGCTATAGGTTGGTATCTGCCTTCAGGCCTTCTGCTGAGCTTGCTCCTTTCTTAGCTCCACAGATGGTCCTCTCTCAGGGGGCCAGTGAGGTTCAGCTTTCCTCGTGTCCAGATCTTACCTGGAGGCAGGCTGCTTTGCACTGGGCCCCCTCCCAGGCCCCACACTCGCCTCCTGTTTTCACATCTTCCATCCAAACTCTCCTCTCCTCTCTAAGCAGGCTCTGCTATGCTTAAGGGCTGTCCCAACCCCTTGCCAAGCCTCCTGCTTGGAGATTGGTCAGGGTCCCTTAGGCATACAGATCAGCCACTCCTCACCCCTGCCCACTGAGTTCTAGAGACTTCAAGTCTCTAGATCAGGGGGAGGTACCAGGGAGTTGATATGCAGAGCCTCTCAGCCCTGACCCAAATATAACTCCTCTGACTCTCTCCCTGTCTACTCAGCCTCCTATCTAAAAAAAAAAAAAAAAAAAAAAAAAAGTCAGCGTAGCTACCTAAGAGGGTGCTATACATCATTAATGATTTTTTACATATACCTAGTATAATATAATATCTGAATCAGTGTTTATGTTAGCTTACTGTAATCATCTGTACTGTAGTACTTACAATGGAAGAAAGAAAGCCAACAGTGTCTGCTGTGCTGTGCATTTTCAGAGGGCAAAGTGCTGTAACTTTGCAGTTGTTCCATCATGTCCAACATCTCTGTAGCAGATTTGCCCAGTTTCATGCAGAATATCACATTTGCTCTTTGTTGCCATTTGCTGTTGCTGTCCATGATGAAATAGCAGATAAGGTAATGCACGTGGTTCAGAATAGTACATATGATGATGTCTTTTGGCACACTGACTTATGAAAGTCGGTGCTCTCTGTGACTGTGCATGCAGCCTTGTGCTGCCATCTGTTGGTATGTTTCAAAACTAGTCTTGAAACTTTTTGATATCACCTCCTACATAAAGACACATGTATATCCAATTGAGCTAAAAAGTTTGCATACCCGGGGATAAATCATTAAATTTTGCATTGATATATGAAAATAATACATTGAAAATATGACTAATCATGCCAAAAAATTATTTTATTCAGTCTTATTTATTATTTATTTAGTCTTTTATTTGAGGAAAGTGATCATATGAAGTCATTTATTATCACATAGTGTTTGGCTCCTTTTTAAATCATAATGATAACAGAAATTACCCAACTGGCTCTGATCAAAAGTTTACATACCCTGGAATGTTTGGCCTTGGTACAGATGCACAATGTGACACACACAGGCTAAAATGGCAATTAAAGCTTAATTCCCCATGTCTGGGACTTTTTAAATTACACTAAGTGTCTGTGTATAACTAGTCAATGAGTTTGTTTGCTCTCACATGGATGCACTGAGCAGGCTGGATACTGAGCCATGGGGAGCAGAAAATAACTGTCAAAAGACCTGGTTACAAAGCTATGGAGCTTTATAAAGATGGAGGGAGCCAAACAACTATGTGATAATGAATGGCTTCATATGATCACTAGTCTTAAATATAAGACAGTTTTTTTACATGATCAGTCATATTTTCAATATAAATGCCAAAATTTCATGATTTCTGCTAGGGTATGAAAACTTTTGAGCACAACTGTAAATATACGTATACACAAACACACATATAGGTGAAACTCAAAAAAATTAGAATATCGTGTAAAACAACTGACGTTGTTTGTTGTTCAGGAGCGGCTTGACAAGAGGAAAACGACATTTGAAGCCCATGTCCAGGATCCGTCTGTGTGTGGTGGCTCTTGATGCACTGACTCCAGCCTCAGTCCACTCCTTGTGAAAGTCCCCAACATTTTTGAATGGCCTTTTCCTGACAATCCTCTCCAGGCTGCTGTCATCCCTGCTGCTTGTGCACCTTTTTCTTCCACACTTTTCCCTTCCACATAACGTTCTGTTAATGTGCTTTGATACAGCAGTTTGGGAACATCCAACTTCTTTTGCAATTAGCTTTTGAGGCTTTCCCTCCTTATGGAGGGCGTCAATGATGGTTTTCTGTACAACTGTCAGGTCAGCAGTCTTTCCCATGATTGTGATTCCTACTGAACCAGACTGAGAGACCATTTAAAGGCTCAGGAACTCTTTGCAGGTGTTATGGCTTAATTAGCTTATTAGAGTGGGACACTTTGAGGCTAGAATATTGCACCTTTTCACAATATTCTAATTTTCTGAGATTGTGGATTTGGGGTTTTCATGAGCTGTAAGCCATAATCATCACAATTATGACAAATCACAGCTTGAACTATCTTGCTTTGCATGTAATGAGTCTATCTCATATATTAGATTCACCTTTTAAGTTGCATTACTGAAATAAATAAACTTTTGCACTATATTATAATTTTTCGAGTTTCACCTGTACATTCATAAACTCATTCATACTTACATACACACTTATATTTACACTCATATACATACATGTAGTACATAAACTCATACACACTTACATACATACACACTCACATACATACATACATAAACTTACACACATACATACACACTCACATCAGGGGCGGACTGACAATTTGGAAACTCGGGCACTGCCCGAGGGCCCGGGGTCAGTAGGGGGCCCCATGAGATGCCCCTGGTACCTTTTTCATAGTTTTTTTTTTGAGTTTGGGCAAGGACACAGGGGCCCCATGATCCCCTATTGCCCGGGGACCCCATGAGTTGTCAGTCTGCCCCTGACTCACATACATACAGTTGTGTTCAAAATAATAGCAGTGTGTTGAAAAAAGTGAATAAAGCTCAAAATCCTTCCAATAGCTTTTATTTCCATACACACAAATGCATTGGGTACTCTACACATTCTATTCCAAATCAAAACATGAAGAAAAATATCAAATTTGTGTTGTTCCTCTAAAAAAATTGAAGAAAAGTGAATATTAGACTGTTCCAAAAAATAGCAGTGTTTGTATTCTTCTTTACAAACTCAAACATTCACTATATAAACTGAAAAATGTTTGAAGATTTTGCTTTCCTTTGAATCGCTTAATTAATATTTAGTTGTATAAGCACTGTTTCTGAGAACTGCTGTACATCTGTGTTGCATGGAGTCATCCAACGTCTGGCACCTGTGGACAGGTATTCCAGACCAGGATGATTGGACTACATTCCACAGTTCTTCTCTATTTCTTGGTTTTGCCTCAGAAACTGCATTTTTTATGTCACCCCACAAGTTTTCTATTGGATTAAGATCCGGGGATTGGGCTGGCCACTCCATAACGTCAATCTTGTTGGTCTGGAACCAAGATGTTGCACGTTTACTGGTGTGTTTGGGGTGGTTGTCTTGTTGGAACACCCATTTCAAGGGCATTTCCTTTTCAGCATAAGGCAGCATGACCTCTTCAAGTATTCTGATGTATTCAAACTGATCCATGATCCCTGGTATGTGATAAATAGGCCCAACACTGTAGTATGAGAAACATCCCCATATCATGATGCTTGCGCAACCATGCTTCACTGTCTTCACAGTGTACTGTGGCTTGAATTCAGTGTTTGGGGGTCGTCTGACAAACTGTCTCCGGCCACTAGACCCAAAAAGAACAATCTTACTTTCATCAGTCCACAAAATATTGCGCCATTTCTCTTTAGGCCAGTCAATGTGCTCTTTGGCAAATTGTAACCTCTTCAGCACGTCTTTTTTTCAACAGTGGGACTTTGCGGGGGCTTCTTGCAGATAGCTTGGCTTCACATAGGAGTCTTCTAATTGTAACAGTACTCGCAGGTAACTTTAGACCTTCTTTGATCTTCCTGAAGCTGATTGTTGGCTGAGTCCTTGCCATTTTGGCTATTCTTCTATCCATTCGAATGGTAGTTTTTCACTTTCTTCCACGTCTTTCAGGTTTTGGTTGCCATTTTAAAGCATTTGCGGTCATTTTAGCTGAGCAGCCTATCATTTTTTGCACTTCTTTATATGTTTTCCCCTCTCCAATCAACTTTTTAATGAAGGTACGCTGTTCTTCTGAACAATGTCTGGAACGACCCATTTTCCTCAGAATTTCAGAGAGAAATGCACTGTAACCAGCACGTACAACATTTTCTGCCTTCCTTCCTTAAATAAGGGCAATAATTGCCACCTGTTTTTCAAAGAATGAATGACCTCACTAATAGAACTCCACACTGCTATTATTTTGAACATGCCCCTTTCAATTAGTGATTCAATTACACAGAATCAGCAGCATGCATGTCATGACTGTTGGGTCTGTTGGATTTCTATTACTCTACTACACCTGCTAGTAAATTACACAGGTCTGCGACTAAAAAGCTGTTTGATTATTTTCATCTAATTTCCATGTATTTTGGTGTGCTGAAAACAAATAAAATATTGAAAAGACTCCTAGATGTCATGATTTGCCCTAAAATGCAAAAGTGTCTTCAAATTTATCAATTTTCTTTTAATTTTTTTATAGTATGGGTTTTTAACCAAATTTAAAGTCCATATTACTATTAATGAATTCACATAAGTGCATTTAAGATATAAAATGGCAAAAAACCTTAAAGGGGTTGTCCGAGTTATGTAAAAAAAAATATAGCACTGTAAATCTGATGGTCAGCAATATATACATAAGCTAAGCACATTTTAGGGAAAAAAAATTCTATCTCCTCATTTCCCTAGCTCTCTTCTGGCCCTTTGTTGTTATTTGCAGGTAAACAATCTCTGCCCCCCCCCCCCCTGAAAAGTGCTGCTCCGAGTGACATGTCTGACTACTGGGATACACAGCAGCATGCTGTATGTGTAAGCCTCAGCCCTGAGCCTGTCCTTCTAATGGTAGAAGGGGTTTATCTTTCCTGAAGAATCCAGTGGGTGGGATACCAAATACCCTTGTTTTCTGTGTCTATGGGACAGTCAAGACCGACAAAATCACTGGACCAAGAAGAGTTGGCAGCCGAGGGTGCTAACAGTCGGTGAAAAGAATGTCCTCCGAGAAACTTTGGTACCTTCCCATAAAGTTCTTCTACCACCTCTCCACATAAAATTGGGATTGATGAAGCAATTCATAAAATCACTTCCAAGAGATGGAGAATGCTTCAAATACTTGGTCATCAAGTTTCCAGGCCTGTTGGAGACAAAATTGAAGGAAGGTGTGTTCGTCGGACCAGAAATTAGAAGGCTTATAGTTGATCAAGAGTTTGTCAATACCATGACGGATCCTCAAAAAGAAGGGTGGATTGCATTTAAAGAAGTTGTACAGAAATTTTTAGGCAATAACAAAGATCCTCACTACAAAAAGATCGTCGGACGAATGCTGAAAGCATTTCAAGCTTTAGGTTGCCTGATGAGTTTGAAAGTGCATTTCCTCCAGTCCCACCTTGACTACTTTCCTGAAAATTTGGGAGCTGTGAGTGAGGAACAAGGTGAAACATTCCACCAAGACATTAAAGAGATGGAAAGGAGATACCAGGGAAAATGGAGCATTACAAAGATGGCAGACTACTGTTGGATGCTTCAGAGAGACATTCCAGATGCTACTCACAAGCGTAAATACACCAAGAGGAGCCTCACAGGGAAGAAGAAGTGAGTTTAGTGTGTGTAGGTGAGCTCATTTCAGTTCAAAAAAGGATTTTTATGAAAAAATTGTAATAAAACCTTAATTTTATAAGTCTATTTCCATTTATTTTGAGATATTGCCTTATTTAACATAGTTACCTAAATTGTCAGGAAACGTGATGTCCTATGACAAAATGGAGGTCATTTTCGAATTCAGTGCACCAAAAAACAAAGATTATATGGAATAACCAAAACAGCTCTTGAAAAAAATTTTTTTGCAGACCTGTGTTATTTGCCATGTAGAAATATAATTTCTACCAAAAACAGTGATTGATCAGGTTAGTGATGTCTGACTGCTATTATTTTGAACACAACTGTAGATACATACATAGCTTTTGAAAAAACACAGCTTATTGTACCTGGATGACCAGCATTTGGCACTTGCAACATCGAGTAAGATGTCTGTGTACACAGTACTGCACAGAGTGGAGGCGAGGCAGGTCAGGAGTCAGAAAGCATCTTTCCCTATTCAAAGAACTGTCTATTACTGCCTGCTCCAGCTCTGCAGTTCACTGTTTAAAGACAGTTAGCTGTCAAGATTATGCCAAAACAACAGCAGCTGCTTTCCCCGGCCTGGCCGCTCTCTTCCGGACTAGGCGGTTCTGCTATGCTTCTCTTCCTTCCTGCTGGAGAAAGTAGTGACTGTTGCTGCTGTCACATCTCCCGTATGTTCAACCCAGTGATCTCCCCTGCTGTACTATTGTGTTCTGACGGGGGGACAGCCCCTGCCAGAACACTTCAATCAGTGCTCTTATCTATTGGCTGAGAGTGCTGCTCAGGAGCTGATTGGCAAACCTTTTACGGTCATGCCCTTTTGACAGAAGCCGGCAGAAAGGCTGGCTTCTGTTGGACCAGCTGCCTTTCATATAGGCTGAATGTCGGCCGGTTTCTATTGAAGTGGCAGATGCTGCTCAATATTCGGCCCAAGTGTACTAGGCTTTAGAAGCAGCGGGGGACAGATGCTATATTGGACCAATGCTGCATCCACCTAAGTTAGTAGAGTTTTTGTTTTTAACCCCTAGACACCGAGCGCATGCAAATATGCGGCCTCTCGGCATCTGAGCCTTGACGCTGAGCGGCCGCATATTTGCGTGTCATTAAAAAATACATATGTGCTGAGAGCGCGCGCCCTGCGCTCTCCCAGCACATGTGTCCATGACTCATGGAAAGGTCCTGATCTCCTCTTGCGATTGGGACCTTTTCCGATCATGTGACCTCCATGACAGTAAATCACGGTGGTCACATGACCCTAAAACCCCGCCCGCCTCCAGCCTTCTGAAACTCTTAAAGGGCAGGGAGGCGCAGGTGCAAAGGGGTTAAAAAAGCCCATGCTTCTCTTTTAACATATGTTAATATTAGCATTTCCATTCAGCCTTAAAAAGGTTTTAGGTCCACTTTAAATAATAGCATTTCATTTCCCCTGAATTAATGTTTCAGTTTTCATTGCCGATGCTGTGTAGCATGCTCCAAAATCACAATGCAATTCAATATTACTGGAGTTCTGGCTTCTTGACGTGTCTTTTTGCTGTGCTAGAATAAGAGCTTCTAAAAGAAGCGTGTTTTTTACATTACAGCATTTTATATGACAGTTTTCATATCTGTACTGTAAATATTATACTAAGTAAATATCTTCCTGGCATTACCCAGGGCTCTGTAACAGTGTAACAAGTTCACAAAAGATATATTGTAAATAATAGAGCAGTAAAGCAAATCATAAAGCAGGCATTTTATAATGGCACATAAAACTACCTGTGTAATTCCCTAACACTGTATTTCATGCAACTGTGCAAATCTATTTTAAATAGCAAAGCGTGAAATGTTTAGCATTTTGCAATGTAGATGGGTGAACTGTTCTAATAAAAAGAATGTCTCCTAAAATATAGACTGTGGATTTAGGCTAAGTTATATTAACGGCCAAGCTAAATCTGTTTAAATCTATCATGCACAGTTGTACTTCTTTCTGTGTTTGTGGAATATATTGTTTAAACATTCTCATTGCAGGCTGGAAAAAAGTATGTACACTCTTGACTTAAGTCACTGGCTGAACCACCTTCAGCAGCTATAACATTTAGAGAACACTTTCTGAATTTCCTGATCAGTTTAAAACTGTTCCTTCTTACAACATGATTTGATATTGCTGACATTTCTTGCATGAATGGCTCTCCTCTAGAAATTGTTCAGTATTCGTTTCAAAAGCTGCTTTATGCATTGACATGCTTTCTTAGAACCAGTGTTTGTGGACAGTATGGTCACATGTTGACTTAGCAGCACCCGCAAGCAGCTTAACTCTTCAATAAGATACAGAAATCGAATATAACACAATTTTGCTCAGCCAATTGCTGTACAGGACATGTTTTTCTAGTCCTTTGAAGTGTAAGAAGGCAAACACTTTTCTAAGACCTGCCTCTGTGAAGTACTAATACTAACTGAGGGAACATGAAAGAAAGAGAGATTGTCTAGCTAGGACTGAACCAACTAGCATGAAACATGAGGGGAAGACAGAGGGAGAAGCCAAAATCACATGGTAAACAATTTGTAGTACCCAGGAACGGACTGACCATTTGGAAACTCGGGCACTGCCCAAGGGCCGGGGTCAGTAGGGGGCCCCATGAGATGCCCCTGCTGCCTTTTTCATAGGCTTTTTTGAGTTTGGGCAAGGACACAGGGGCCCCATGATCCCCTATTGCCCGGGGGCCCCATGAGTTGTCAGTCTGCCTCTGGTAGTACCCCAAAACATTCACTAGATGTCAGCATACTACTGGACAATAAAAATCTGATTTAGCTCAATAAACACATAAACATACAAGTACAGTATATGGGACAGAACAAGTGCCTCAATTGATCTGAGTTCTGGACTTTGACTTGGCCATTCCAGAAAATAAATCTTCATATGTTTAAGCATCCCATTGTGGATTTATTCAACTAAATTGTGTTTTGTTGCATCATCTAGCTTCTATTTAGTTTCAGATGACAGAACACTACTCTGCTGTTCTTCAGTTTTGAATTGAGCAGCCCTAAACCAGGAATGCTTTCTTCACCATGCTTCACAGTTGGATGGAGATTAGTGTGGAAGCATGGTTCTTTCTTTGAATAGAATTGCATACTTTTTTCAATTTTTGTTAACATTATACCAAAAGTGTTGATAAAGAATATCAAGGTGCTCATATCCAAATTTCAGACATGCATACAGCAGTTTTTTGTTTGGAGAGCAATGAGGTTGATTTACTAAACGTAAATAGACAGAGCACTTTGCAAGTGCAGTTGCACTTATAAAAAAAACAGCATTTTTGCTTCCACATGATTGGATGATGGAAATCAGCAGAGCCTCACCACAATCAATAAGCTCTTGGGAAAATGTGTGCAGCGGAACTTTGCAAAGTGCTCAATCTATTTGCCTTTAGTAAATCAACCCCAATGGTGTATTGGGCAATGTTTTTAAATGAACAAATGGATAATGGAGAATTAGGCAACTTTCAGAAATTTCTCTAGGTTTTTTGCTTTTAACTAGGGGGACTTTCACCTTTATAAGTACTTCTAGCTATACTGTTGTCAAAAACTTTGCTGGACACCACTTTGTTTCCTCTGTTTTGACAATTTTTCTTACTGTAGCCTAATGAATATCAATGATATAGAGCTGCTTTTGTAGCAGTTTTTTTAGCTTTATACAATTTCTTTTAATCAAGGCACAGTACAGCTGAACAGAGTGGCAGACACTGTCAGTAAACCAACGCCGTGCGCATTTTTAAAAGACATTTTCAAACTACACCTCTAACTTAGTCTCTTTGATTAGAATAACCGAGTCCTGTTATCCTGGTCTCGAGACACCATTACCCTACAGCTTCACATACTTTTTATGTCAAGAGTCTTCATTGTTTAAAAATGTATTTATAAATAGTATAACAGCGCAAATGTGGCATGTGTCAGTAGTAAACAAGAATATTTAGTTATTACCAGGGGCGGACTGACCATTTGGAAACTCGGGCACTGCCTGAGGGCCCGGGGTCAGTAGGGGGCCCCATGAGATGCCCCTGGTACCTATTCATAGGCTTTTTTGAGTTTGGGCAAGGACACAGGGGCCCCATGATCCCCTATTGCCCGGGGGCCCCATGAGTTGTCAGTCCGTCCCTGGTTATTACCACAACAGAGATGAAGATTGGACCAAGTTCGGAGCCTTTCATGTAAAAATCCAAGTATTCTTTAGCATTCACAACATTTCACTTGCAACTATTTTTAGAACCTAGAAGAGTTCACTTTCTATACTTGTCAACAAATATGGCTGGTATAATTACCACTATAAAATAACTATATTTCATAGGATCTGTTCCAGATTTTTTTCCCAAGTTCTTTATTGTTTTAACTGTTCAGCATTTGGCATGCTGCAATGTCACACACATATTTGGCAGATAGGGCTCAGCATGTTTCACTCAGTTTACAATTCACAGACTCAAGATGATCTTTTCTTTGCTGCACAAGAAGTATTTAAAGGTCAGTCTACACAAAAACATTTTCAGTTTTGCTAGGTCTAGAGAGAGGTAAATCACCTAATAATGTCTTTTATATGTCTTGTAGACTCATTTTTCTCCATTTTTAAACTTAAAAATACCTTTTTTTTTACAAGCAGATGGGCACTCACATGAATGAGCCATAATTGTGTTTTTTTAAATACCGTATTTTTCGCTCCATAAGACACACTTTCCCCCCCCCCCCCCCAAAAAAGGGGGGAAAATGTCAGTGCGTCTTATGGAGCGAATATAGAGCGGCCAGTCCAGTATTTCCACCGCCGACACCATGTCAGAATACCGGACCAGCCGCTCAGCTCTTCTCTGCAGCAGGACCTTACCTTAGTCTTCCTGCGCCAGCATCTTTAGTGTGGAAACCCGGCAGTGACAGCCGGGTGCTCACTGCACATGCGCGAGAAGCGCTGCACTTTGTGAATGGCTCGGCGTCTTCTGGGACCTGTCATGTTTCCCAGAAGATGCCAGGCCATTCACAAAGCGCAGCGCTTCTCGTGCTTGCACAGTGGGCACCTGGCTGTCACAGCCAGGTTCCCACACTAAAGGGAGGATGCCTCCGCGGAAGTGTGAGTGGGTACCTGTCAAATGCAGGTACCCACTCCCCCTCCCTCCCCAAATGTCTACAGTCTCCTTGTCATCCCTTGTACAGTCTGCAGTCTCTGGTCATCTCCTGTACTGTCTGCAGTCTCTGGTCATCTTCTGTACTGTCTGCAGTCTCTGGTCATCCCCTGTACTGTCTGCAGTCTCCCCTGATCATATCCTGTACTATCTGCAGTCTCTGATCATATCCTGTACTATCTGCAGTCTCTGATCATATCCTGTACTATCTGCAGTCTCTGATCATCTCCTGTACTTTGTCTGCAGTCTCTGTCATCTCCTGTACTTTGTCCGCAGTCTCTGGTCATCTCCTGTACTGTGTCCGCAGTCTCTGGTCATCCCCTGTACTATAACCGCAGTCTCTGGTCATCTCCTGTACTGTGTCCACAGTCAGGAGTGGAATGATCATTTGGAAACTCTGGCACTGCTCGAGGGCCCGGGTTCAGTAGGGGGCCCCATGAGATGCCCCTGATACCTTTTTCATAGGCTTTTTTGAGTTTGGGCATGGCCACAGAGGCCCCATGATGCCCTATTGCCCGGGGCCCCATGCATTGTCAGCCCGCCCCTGTCTGCAGTCTCTGGTCATCTCCTGTACTGTGTCTGCAGTCCATTGGTTCAGAATATTTTTTTCTTGTTTTTCTCCTCTAAAACCTAGGTGCGTCTTATGGAGCGAAAAATACGGTAATAGGGTTTAGTGTTGCTTGTTTTTACTTGAAACTTTGCTGAAATGGACAGTATGTGCAGATTAAATTACAAATCTTTGAGATTCACTTAAACCTAAAACTAAATACATTATCACAGTTTTGTTACAATCCATAACTGCAACCCTAAACCTCACAGAAACACATAGTTAGTAACTGTACCATTAAATTCAATGATATAGAGTCTTCCTTGCTGTTTCTAAGCAATTTTGTTTCTCATGATATAGCTTGAAAGCCAAAACAATGGGAATGGACCCTTTATAAGTGTAAGTTGATTGGATCAGACAGTGTTTCCCTTCATTTCTGTTCTGTTTCAGCTGTAGGACTTCTGATATTATCTCTCACTGTTTCAAGTGGCCTTCTCCTGTGGTGAGATTTGTCTGGATGTCTGAAGAAGATTCTGCTGTTTTCCTCCAGGAGTTTTGGGAAAATGTTTGCCTAAATTAATAACAAGTTGAGAAAGATATGTGATAGCCAATGTCTTAAGAGAGAGAGAGAGAAGTAAACAGAAACAGATATCCAGTCTGTGCTATAGGAACTGCACATATAAAAAGTTGAAATATTCAGCCTTTTATAACCTGCAAAAGAATAAACAAAACTGGAACCTAACACAATCCTGTGGGTAGTCTGGACTGTCTTCAATGTGACATACACTCACTGGCCACTTTATTAGGTACACTTGTTCAATTGCTTTGTAACACAAATTGCTAATCTGCCAATCAGATGGCAGCAACTTAATGCATTTAGGCATCTAGACATGGTGAAGATGACTTGCTGAAGTTCAAACTGAGCATCAGAATGGGAAAGAAAGGGAATTTAAGTGACTTTGAACTATGGTTGTTGGTGCCAGACGGTCTGGTCTGAGTATTTAAACAATTGCTAACCTACTGGGATTTTCACTCACAACCATCTCTAGAGTTTACAGAGAATAGCCCCCCCAAAAAAAGAAAATATCAAGTGGCAGTTATTTGGATGAAAATGCTTTGTTGATGTCAGAGGAAAATGGGCAGACTGGTTGCTGCGACGTTCAGATGGTAAGGTCAGAATTTGGAGTAAACAACATGAAAGCATGGATCCATCCTGCCTTGTATCAATGGTTTAGGCTGGTGGTGGTGTAATGGTATGGGGATATTTTCTTGGCACTAGCAAGGTATACCCAATAAAGTGGCCGGTGAGTGTTTGTGGACATGTGAATGTGAATTTATGGGTTCTGTGTGGCAGCAAGAGAATCTGACAAGAAGAATTTAACAAGCCAGCTCACTGTGAAATGCTGATTATCGTTTTAATTTGTTAATCAGTCAAATGAAGAATTTAGAATTCCCCTCTTCTTCTTTTTAGAAAAAATGTGAGGACTTTCCTGCAGAAGTAAAAAGGCATTTAGGGGATTAAAGAGTGTCTAAGACAGTCCTTAGAATCCTAACATGCCCCCAATTGACAAATGTTGGTGCGGGCAATAAATTCATGTACAGTCAGGTCCATAAATATTGGGACATGGACACAATTCTAACATTTTTGGCTCTATACACCACCACAATGGATTTGAAATGAAATGAACAAGATGTGCTTTAACTGCAGACTGTCAGCTTTAATTTGAGGGCATTTACATCCAAATCAGGTGAACGGTGTAGGAATTACAACAGTTTGCATATGTGCCTTCCACTTGTTAAGGGACCAAAAGTAATGGAACAATTGGCTTCCCAGCTGTTCCATGGCCAGGTGTGTGTTATTCCCTCATTATCCCAATTACAATGAGCAGATAAAAGGTCCAGAGTTCATTTCAAGTGTGCTATTTGCATTTGGAATCTGTTGCTGTCAACTCCCAAGATGAGATCCAAAGAGCTGTCACTATCAGTGAAGCAAGCCATCATTAGGCTGAAAAAACAAAAC